CCGCCCCCCTCCCCCCCCCGCCCGCCCCCCCCCCCCCGCCGCGCCGGGGGGCTGCCCGCCGCCAGCACGAAGGTGGCACCGTCAAGGAGGTGCCACGGCAAGGAGGGACCCCGGCCGCCCGCGGGCACCCCTGTGCCCCGGGCACCCCTTGTGACTGTCTTTGTGCCCACCTCGCTGGCACCCCGCTGCCCACCTTGCACCCAAACCCCTGCCCCCCTCACGGCACCCCAATTCCCTCCTTGCTGCTGCCATGTGCCCCCCCACAGCACCCTGCTGCCCTCCTCCTTGCCACCCCATGCCCACCCTTGTGCCGCCCTCATGGCGCTCTCGTACCCACCCGCACGCCCACCCTGATGCCCTCCTGGCTGCACCCTCACATTCACCCTTGGGCCACCCTCATGCCCTCCCCGTGCCCAACCTCGCACCCCTCCCCATGGCAACCTTGCGCCCACCCTCCCGCCACCTTCACGGCACCCTTGTGCCCACCATTACTGCACCCCGGTGCCCTGCCTGTGCCCAACCTCGGACCCCTCCCCATTGCACCCTCATGGCACCCCAGCGCCCGCCCGCTGCCCCCCGTGCCCCCCAAGGATATTGCTGGTGCAGCTGCTGCAGGAAGCGTTCGGTGGGCAGGAAGAGCGAGTGTGTGAGCACGATGTCATCCAGCAGCGATTCTGGGGGAGACGGGGGGCAGGCGTAGGCACCCCACCCTGTGCAGCCCCCCGCCGACACCCCCCGCAGGCCCCGCACCCGGCGGAGCGGACGGCCGAGGGGAGCGATGCTAATTCCCAGGGTGACACCGGGAGACGCTGAGCCCCACGCCAAGCCCCCCCACGCCCGGCGCTGACTCACGGACCCGCTCCCAGCCCCGCGGGGCAGCCGGGTCCCGGGAGGAGCGTGGCGTGGGGGCAGAGGCGCCGGCAGGGCAGGACCTGAGCCGCGACGCCCTGGCACACCCGCCTGCCCCGGCGAGAGCCCAGCTGCGGCCAAACCGGGACGCGGCTCAGGGCAATGGGGACACTGAGGCAGGTGGCAGCAGCGACGATTCGGGCAGCCGCGCTCAGGGCCGGTGCTGGGGGAGCCGGTGCCGGCAGTCGGGCTCTTCGGGCCAGCACGGGCAGCACCGGCCCTGGGGAGGGCGTTTTGGCATGGCACAGCTGAGTGAGCCAAGGGGCCGATGCTGGCGGGGGCGCCCGTCAGCGGCAGCACCCAGCCACCACCGCGACCTTTGGACGAGGCACCGCTCCCTCGCCCAGCCCCGGAGCAACCCTCGAGCCTGGGCCCTGAGCGGGTCCCTGGCCGGAGGGGTGCCCAGGGGGCTGTGCCCGTGTGCCCCAGGGATGCCACGGCTGTACCAGGGACCCCGGTGTCCCCAAAGAGGCCCACAGGACCTGACGCTACAGGAGGGGCTGTGCCGAGCATCCCCCCGGCCACCCTGCAGGCCCTGGCCCCATTAACCCGGCCACGGATCTGTGCCGAGCCAGGGCTGAGGCTCCCCCGGCACCACCGCGCCGGGGCACGGCGCCTGCAGGGGACGAGCTGCTGCCAAAAGCGGGACACGGCAGTCTGGGGCACGGCTGGACCCACGGCCCCCCAGCCTGGCCCCCCAGCGCTGCAGGGCCGGTGCCCCACATCCAGTCTCCTGCAC